TGTGTCCTCCCGTGTGAGTGGGGGCATGAACTAATTGGGTCAAGTCCATGGTCGTCATGGAGGCCAAGAACTCCCGAGCCACCGCCGACGTTTCACCCGCTGATGGCAGGTTGAGATCCCCCATGACTATAAGTCTGGGGGTCCCAACCGCCACCCCGGCTATCACGTCGGCCAGCTCAGGCAGGGCCGTTGACACATAAATTGTACATTTAGGTGTTTTTTACTAGCTAGTCCAGAAGCCATTGCTGAATCACTTCTCTATCTGGCTTCTGTAATAAAATCCACTTTCTGGCAGCTTGCTTTGCTCAGTGTCATTTTTTTTTCTTCGTCCACACTGAAGGCTTACTCCCAAGCTGGAGGAACGAACCTGAGAAATATCTTTTCACAGCAGAAAATACGTTGTTGTGTTGTGTCTTTTTAAATTTATTTTTAGCCTATTTTCCCCCTTAAGTCTGAGTCACTCACTGTTCCTTTGTTCTCCGTTAATGAAATGCATTCTCTCTTTTTTCTATTTTTGCTGCTTTTTCTGCAGCTGCACCCGATATAAATGGTTGTTAAGTGAATCTGGTTTCACCATTGACTTTGCTTGTCAGAAGGTTGCAAAAGGGGATCACATGACTCTGGGACACTGTGACTGTCATAAATCATGTGATCCTGGGGACACTGAAACAGTCATAAGTGTGAAAAATGGACATAAGTCACTTTTTTCAGTGTCGTTGTAACTTCAAACAGTCACTAAGCAAACTGTTGTAAGTCAAGGACTACCTGTACTTTATCACTTTTTTCCTTTTTTGGGGGGGGGTCAAATTTTTGACACCTTGTTAGGCGACTGGTGGTACTCGGATATTGCCATATCCTAAAAGTGGTACAATGGACGAAAAGGTTGAAAAGCCCTGCCATATGCAACCACAAGACTCCTCCACACCCAGGTTCTACGGACTCCTAAAAATACACAAGAATGGGATCCCCTTACACCCAATTGTGTCTCTACCCAGTACATCGACGTAGAAACTAGCAAAAAAAACCTGCAGAGGAAACTCACGACACTTGGTCAACGACTCAACCTGGAACAGTTTCTCCAACTCATCAAGCACACCAAGAGCAACAAGGAAGAAATCACTGCACTCTTCACCTCAATTGACATCAACCTGGCTAAACAAACCATACACCACCTACTCACTAAACACCATACCCACAAAGATGACTCTGCCACAGAACACTCCATGTCCACAGAAACCATCATGAAACTTCTGGATCTATGCCTCAACACATACTTCATGTTCAAGGGGAAAATCTACACGCAAGTACAAGGTACCCCAATGGGATCACCCATATCAGGCCTAATAGCAGAAGCAGTCATGCAATGACTCAAATCTATAGCCCTACCAACCATCCAACCAAAATTTTGGACACACTACATCGACGATACCTTCGTCATCACCAAACGCTCCCAAACTGAAGAAACACATCACCTACTCAATAACATATTCCCCTGGATCAAATTCACACGTGACGAGGAAACAGACAAAAGACTCTCATTCCTCAACATTGACATAAGGAGACTAGACAATGGAGAACTGGAAACCTGAGTCTACCGCAAACCCACTCACACAGATCAGACCTTCAGCTTTGCAAGAAGCCACCCCACCGCACGCAAAAGAAGCTGCGTCCAGACCCTCTTCAGAAGGGCCAAGACACACTGCAGCACCACAGCACTAAGAAAAGCAGAAGAGAAACAGCTGCTTGACGTCTTTCTCTGCAATGGCTATCCAAAAAACTTTGTATTCCGACACACAGCACCCAAACTGCAACATACCATACAGCCAACCACCACGCAAAAACTAACCCTACCATAAACAAAAGAGGTGTTGGAAATAAGAGCCAGAATTCTCCATCTAGGAATAGCAACAGCCCACAAATCCACAGCCACACTCCACCAGGAATTATCCAGAACCAAAGACAAGATACAGAAGGATGAAAGAAACAATGTAATTTATAAAATCAACTGTAACAATTGCAACCAATTCTACATGGGAAAAACATCATATCAATTGAAAACCAGAATCCATGAACACCAGCTGGCAGTCAATAACCACGATCCCAAATCTCTACCCACACTGACATCGAACAGCACCAATTCGATTGGAGCAATACAGGAATTATTGGCCAAGCTACCACCCACCACGCACGGGAGTTTATTGAAGTCCGGCACTCCACAAGCAATTCCATCAACAGACACATTGACCTACAACCAGCCTACAAACCCGAGAATTCAAATCAACCGCACACCTAACCAGCGACAGCACCAACCCTCAACCAACCCACACACACATCCCAACCAGCACTTCATCTCCCAATGACCCTCCCGACATGACCTCCTCATCACAAGACCTTCACCTGACGTGACCCACATCTGACCCATCACAAGACCCTCGCCTGACGTGATCCTCCCATCACAAGACCTACTGACTACACGAAGCCCTTATAAGCAGAAGAACACTGATACTGACATTCCCTAAATTCTGCTGAAGATGTTACCTAGCCTGGTAATGAAATGTTTGGAAACCAACCCACAAGCTCGGAGAACGAACCTCTACCCTCACAATAAGTAACGGATGGAAACTTATGAAAGAGAGATCCAACCTAGAACTAAGAAGAAATTTCCTGACAGTGAGAACAAATAATCAGTGGAACAGGTTGCCTTCAGAAGTTGTGGGTGCTCCATTACTGGAGGTTTTTAAGAAGACATTGGAGACCCATTTTGCAGAATAGTATACGGTCTCCTGCTTGAGCCGGGGGTTGGACTAGAAGACCTCCAAAGTCCCTTCCAACTCTATTATTCTGTTATTCTATTAAAAGAGGCAACTTGGCTTTTGTCAGCATAATGCTGCCATTTTTCATATCAGTATGCTGGCTGGGGAATTCTGGGAGTTGAAGTCCACATATCTTAAAGCTTTCAAGGTTGAGAAACACTATTTTATACTACAGAGCAATCGCTGGATAAATAAATCACTAATTCAAGCTTTTCTTCAAGAAATATCTTTTTTCCCATGAGAAAATGAAACATGAAAGCACCAAGCCCATGCCCCCAAAACTTACTCTGGATTTCAATGACATTCTCCAATGTGGCTATGGCATTTGCATTGGGTTTCTGTTGGAAAAGAGCTTGATCCAGCTGTTCCAACTGCAACAAAGGAAACTCAAGAGTTTAGTTGCTTGCTTTCACATCTGGCTAGCAGTCACGAGAAAGGAAAAATAGTTCAAATAAAGAGGCACACAAGGGTGCGTGAGAAAATGATTGGGAAATGGCAGCAAAAAAGCCAAAACAAATTCTACTTCCATTTCCCACAAAGCCTTCAAGTACCATTCCATCCACTTAATGTTGTGAATATATGAGCTTTGTTTCTATTTCTGTTTGAGATTTGTTTTTTTCTATTTCTTTTTTCTTATGTCTTTGATATTCATTAATAAGGTACCTGTGCTTAAATGTAGCAGTCTGCATGTCTCTTTGTGCTCTGCCTCTAATATTGGTATACTGTATATATGAGATATCATAAAAAATAAATGTATATATTTTGCTTTAACATTCCCATTTCCCCCCACGGCTTCTGCACTTCTAGAAACTTGACATTTTTATGCCTACATCTCATAAACTCTGCACATCTATCTAAAATAGATCTGCATTTTCCCATCTATCCATGTTCGCAACTGGTTTATTTTATTTTCTTCTATAACTTGGATTATAAGAGACCTTACTATTTATATTGCTCCATTTTCCACACTGGAAAATAGATATTTTGTCAATTTCAGGATAAGCCTTATGCAGATACCACTGAAGAGGTTAATAGTCAACTGAGTGATTGTGTTTCTGTCATGGACATGTTCCTTCCTACAGAATAGTCCTTTTTAACATACATTATTAGAGGCTTGCTTACCTGACACACAGGAGAGGGCCTATATTTGGGCCTCATTCACTCAGTGTTTAGAATATTTGTAAAGATGTTGTTCTTTTGCGAGGCTTTAACAAGTGATTAATTTTTGTCTTGATTTTAACACTTTTAAATTAATAATTCTTGCAATAATTTTTAGCTACCTTGAGCTTTGCATGAATAGAAAGGTGGGCTATGAATTAAACAGTTACATTTAAAAATGTGTTCTTAATCAGAAACTGACATGCATTAATGTGTCTGGGCAGTTATGCTTTTATTCGTGTTTCTCATTTACAGCTCTACCCTGTTGAATGCCAGTTCTCTTTTCAAAAGCATGAACAAAATCACAGCCAACCATTGTTGGAAACTTTCGATCCATTCCAAGCCCGTGATTGAGACTTTCCCAGCACCTACATTCATGTGCTACCTGTACTCACCTCAAGGCCAAGCAAGGCAGAGACACAGACTTCAGAGGCATCACAGATGGCAGTCAGGTCATGACCACCTTCTAAAGCTAGGATAACACGCCCATCTGCCAGTTTCATTAGTTGTTTGGTCAGGTGCCCAAAACCTACATGACCAAGAAGAAACATGAATTAGTGATTTCTGCTTTAGATTTTACATTGCTCTCCATCTTCCATCTCTGCTAGAAACTGAAGAAAGTCATGGATGTCTATTGTGATGAAAAACAGTATCCTCAACATTTCTGAAAACAGTGATGAAGCTATTTAGAGCTTGGAAGCAGGGTAAATAGTCTCTAAGCTACTACCCAGGAACATCTGTGCTCTGTGTTTTTAATAATGCTTGTATGAGACATACTGTTGTGTTCTTTGTATTCCCCCCCCCTTAATCCCCTATGCATATCCTGATCACCCATTAAGGGTGATTGCCCTTCACCATTGATCGCCCATTAAGGGTGATTGCCCTTCACCATTGATCGCCCATTAAGGGTGATTGCCCTTCTCCATCTGCATACAGTTTCATGCCCGTTGCTGGTTGGCTAACTAGCAACA